CCGGGGGGCCGGGCAGATGGCCGGGCACTGTCGGAAAAGAGTGGTCAGACCCCCGCCCCCCGAGACACAGGGACCCCGGGAACTCCGAGCCAGACCCCAACACAGCTCAGCACAGGGCCCGGAGGCGGGTCATCCTAATACGAAGGGGTCCCCGGGCCGCACGGCCTCGTCCGGGCTGCCCAGGCTCTGTAGGAGCCAGACCTTGGCCACTAGGCCCCTGGCCTCCTCACAGCCCGGCTCCAATTTCTCAGCCTCGGTGCAGGCGCCACAGGTTCAAGGCAGCTATTCAGTGAGTGTCTGCGGCTTCACAAAGGCGCCTTCATGCAAGCCCCACTCCCTGCAGCGAGCGTCAGGCGGTTCCCCTGCACAAACGCTTCAGGAAGGATGTGTCCCTCAGGCACAGACTGGATGCTCCGTGTTGGGGAGGCTGTGAGGTGGGGGCCTAAGGATTCTAGATCATTCCACGACTGATCTGGCACGGAGCCGAGGCCATCGACCACAGTGTCTGGGCGGACTCATCAGCGACTCAGCCACTGCTCTCATTCTGGAAGAGGCCCCTCCTTCTGGGACGTGGGTGGGGGCGAGAAGAGATGGCAGCCAGCCCCAGAGGTGAGCCAGTTGCCGGCTCTCCCTTCTAGAGCGTGCTGCCGGCCCAGCAGCGCGGGCGGAGGCACAGGTCTGGCCACCCCGCCACCGCTTCCCCTTTGACACAAGTGACAAAGCTCAAAGGCCAAGATAACAGTGACCAGTCCGGAACCTTCTGCGATGGCACATTCTGTCTGCGGGCCATGCCGCCGCCGTGGCCAGGCGGCTGGAGCCCTGGAGTGCGGCTGAGCTGAGGGGCTGGGCTGTGTGCAATTCGGTTTTGCCTAATTTGGATTCTCACTGCTGCATGTGGCTCCTGCAGAGCTGGACTGGGACAGGGGGGAGGTGGAAGGGGGTAAAGGTATAACACTGTGTTACAGTACTATGTATGGCAGTGTCTGTATCATAAAAATTTTAGTGACTATGATTCTATGGTATTCTAATGAAAATGCTACAGACTATTCTCATGATATAAGGATATTTAGCAGCCTACCTTATGTGGTCATAGTTCATTTCCATCTCTGCCTTCCTTCTGGGAGGGAACAGGCTGATTCCCCAGATGGACGTCTGAGGCAGGGGATCAGGCCAGACCCCTTCCCGCCAGGAGAGGCACCCCAGCCCCTTCGCGAGCAGTGCCCACCTGAAGGTCAGTAGCGCCTTCGGGGAGGACCCCTGGGTGACCCTGGAACGAGATGGCTGACTGTGACACTGCCCGCCCACCTTCCCCCCTCCCCATCCTCACCACTCAGGGGCCACTGGGGGCCTTGGGCCCTCATCCCTCCTGTGGTCAGAGCCGAGTGCTACTGGTCCATCTGCAGGGCATGTGACCAGGACAGAAGCCCCGACCATCCCCACCCTCTGCTCGGCCCTGGACCCCGTCGGGGAGGGGTGTGGTACAGATCTTGGGCGAGGGCCAGGGAGGGGTGCTGGGGGACAGAGGACCAAGCCCACCATGCAGTCACCCAGAGCCCTGCTCGGTACTCACAGGGGGTCCAGGAGGTCCCGGAGGGCCAGGCAGGCCTGGGAGTCCAGAGGGTCCCTGGGGGATGTTATGACTTAGGTGCACAGGCCCAGCCCCCACCTGAGGTGAGGGGACCAGCTGCTTCCAGAGAGAAGCCTCTCCAGATTGTGTCTTTGGGGGGCTGCTCCCAGCTCTGCCTACCGCCCCCCAGCCAGTCCTAGGGTCTGTGTCCTGAGGTCGGGCCTGTCCCAGTCCCTGGATGTCAGCCACAGCTTCCATCACGAAAGGGCAGGGGGCAGGGGTGGGGGCAGAAAGGGAAGGTGGAGGGTGGGAAGCCCCTGGTGGTTGAATTCGGGGGTCTTGGCAAGCAGAGCGCCTGCTCCCAGCAGTGGGGAAGGTCGGGGCAGCCACTCACCGGGGGGCCCCGGAGGCCAAGTCCACCTGGGAGCCCGCTGATCCCTGCCTCTCCCTGGAGGTAAAGAAGTGAGGGGTGGGAGTCTGCACCCAAGGGCTTTGGGGAGCTGGGGAGTCACAGCCCACTCCCAGACCCCCATGCACCCATGCAGGGCCGGTCTGCCCTCTCGGAAGGGACTGAGACTCCAGGGGCGCATGTCTC